CACATTCGAGTGTATGGTTGAACCCACTACTCAGAATATACAGTGTATTATAGATTAGTATAAATCTATACAAAGTCTTGTCTTTATCTAACTATAACTGACTATATTTTATTAACTCACTAGTAAGTGTGATTGCACTATTTAAATGCCACAAATTTGGCATATTGTTTCCAAACTACCGTCTATATATATATTTGATTCAGGCACGCGTAAATGATTAATTTCAAATCATGTTTTATTAAATATATGTCGAAACAAATGTGTATCGAGTTTTTTTAATTAAAGATTCAGTAATTTTTTTTACTCAACAATTTCTTAATTATTAAATTAATATCATATAACCAATGGATTAAAACAAATATCACCAGTATGCCTGTTTGAGTACTAATAACACTTTTATTTAATTATTTACAATAGTGGAGAAGATTTGTAGCTCAGGTGGTTGATATTGATGGAGTTTTGTTCTCTGAGCTGGACTTCTATCTGAAGTTTGTGCTGATGATGTCGTTCAGAAGAACGATGAAAGCTTCACGATCAAACCATATAGCTCAGAGAACAAAACTCCATCAAAATTATTTACAATCAAATGAGATAGAAAAGCGGTAATTTAAATTCGAATCCAAGTGATTGAAAGTTTTAAAACTCTTATTCTCTAGTATATAATATTAATTAAGTGATCGATTAGCCTTAAATCAATGTTACAAATTATTTTATGAAGCATTACTAAAACAGTATAATATTAATAATCGTTGTATATTTTATCTTTTGTACGGAACAAAGTACACGAACTTATTATTATTTAATTAGTTCTTGAATAGAATTTTTTTTAAAGTGCGTGGTAGATGGATTAAACTGTATCCATTCACTATTTGTTTCTAAATTATATTAAAATTTTATACCAAGATACAATAAATTTGAAAATATGAATAATTAAATTTCTTTTTAAAGTACACAACTAGCTTCATTTGTTTTTGTTTTTTTAAAAGAAGTAATAAACCGCCATTACAATGAATGTTATTCAATTGAAAAAAAAACAGTAATTGACGCACTTCTAATGATTTCATTAATTTAATCAGTTTGAAGAGTTGACAAACTATCAACACGGAATGAATTGTATATATATATATATATATATATATATATATATATATATATATATATATATATGGAACAGTTTTTGAATTACATCAACAACAACAATGAGAGAGTTATTTGTAAGCATTCAATTAAAAAAAGTACACATATAAGACATAGGAAAAAATAACATAAACAAACTAACGTGTTTAGTATTGAATTCTGATAAGTAATTATTTCCATAGTTCTGATGTAATACATCATGTCGAGTATTATTTGAGCATGTATCATGACACATCTCAGTAGTTACACGTTTATTCACATTAGTTTTAATATTTTGATCAATATAAATTGATAATTCTAATAAACGTAACCATAGAGTATGAAATTTCGCTTCTAATTCACAAACATTTCTTGATAAATTATGCAAATTATTTTGAAATTGTATATCAGCCAGTGTACTAAGTTCAACATGATCAACTAATTCTTTAATAGTTGATAAAGTTTTTGAATATTGTTCAATTTGCTTTAAACAAACCTATAATGTAAATGAAATATTTTCAATAAATTATACAAAAGTTGACTGGTACTTAAAGAGAATAATGTAATTACTAATGGGACAACATCGCTGAATCTATTCGATTGTAATTTGTAACTAATCATAGACAAGAAACTCTATGGTGAAAATGAAGATGAGTGTCTATTGACAAATTTTATAATACAAAAATGACACTAGTCATCGGATACCAATTTATTTACTTAATAGTCATAGGTTCATTATCAACTAATCCGTTTAATTTATTATTCAACATTCACAAACATAACAAAACAGGGCTTCTTTTCGTGGAAAATGCTTCATAATTGATTAAAATTCGTTTAAATAACAAAAAAACGTTTTTCTTTTAAAGGAATACAATATTTTGTACGAGGAGTATAATAGTTTACACCGTTCACGATATCATATATCTGGTTAACCGACTAAAAGTATGTGATAAAACAAATAACTAAAAAAACTAAATATATTTTTTCAAACATTGTTGTAAATTTTTATAAAACTAAGTAATCATTCGAGTGATCAGTTTCAAATCCTACTTTTGTATGTAGCCCTACTGATAAACTATGGTAGAACATGGTTTATACCTATACCCTAATGGTTATAAACTTATCACTGCTTCACGTTATAGTAGTTTACAATTACTTTATCATCAAACCTTAAAATTATCAATGATACAGTAGATATGCATGCATATTCCAGGAATGACCTTTGGATTATTTGTTGAGAAACTGATAACCTAGTAGGTTATTCATCAATATCGGTAAATGTGAGGTTAATCCTCCTTTATTTTTTAATCAAACACAGTTTAGTGCTCCAAAGCGGCTGACAAGGCTCATTAGTCGATATTAGTGATTTAACATATCAAAATGTAATATTCCACTGAACACATTTACATAACCCATTCTTTAACATATTTGTTTGTTGTTTACATTGTCATGAGCATTTTTTGTTTTGTATAAATAAACACAAAGATGCATGATATTTAGTCACAACATATAGAGATGTGTTTTTTAAAATAATTGTATTCACAGTAATAATCTGATACAAATATTTTCATCCTGTCAACATTTATTTACAGATCACTTAATCAAGGATTAATACAAGATCTCTTTTCATGGACATTAGGTTCCTAATTGTAATTTAGCTGCACAATTATTAATTACTTTATTTATTTATTTGAAACTGTTGAGTTAGGTATGAGAGTAGAATATTTAATTCATAAAACATATTTCACCTGATAATATTTAGCTGTAGAAAATTTCTGAACGTTGGATAATGACATTAGGCAAGTCATCCATGCTGAAGTATTTGGTAAATCTGTGAAAATTAAATATATACAACATTATTTCAATGTGTAACTCACTTTTTTAAGATCACTGTATCATGGTAAAAAGCATTGAAATATATATCGCTCAGAAAATGCTTCTAGATGAATGTACAACCTCAACTGAGAAATAGTTAAGTTTCAGATAGTTTTGCGTACATTTAAAATTTCTTTTATATATAACCTTGAACATAAAACTCGCTAATCAAATTAGCCATTCTCTTACATTTTAGTGCGTTTCACTGTACAAGGAAAATAGTTTCCGGAAGTTTTCTTATGTAGAGTTCAAGAAAGGTAAGACGCTATTTATGACAAGACATATTCATTCATTCGTTCAAAAAATATTGAGATTGTAGGCTTACGATACTAAGACAAACAAATCATGGAACACATTTAGTTTATCAATAATAGAAATTAATCGCCGAAGATAAACTCATTTGTCTTAAATAACACGGTTGTATACAGATGATATATGCGTTGTCTTATTATATAAATCTTTGTTCAACATTAGTTTTAAATTCAGAACAGAGACAAAATATTTTGAAAAAGTTGGAGACAATACTTTTGACGATAACACATCACATGTATCTTCATTAGTGTGGAACATGAGTCTAGTGAAAAAAACACAACTGGTGTAAGGTCTGTAAAACTTATTTTAACCAAAATTTACTATATATATGCTTTCTGAAAATAAGATAATGGAACAAAACATCAAATGTAAAGTTCGTCAAGCAGGAATATAACTTAATAAGCCATTAAGAGGACCCAGAATCAATGAAATGATTTTCATTAAATGTTGTCACATGCTTGAACTATTAAGTTTCAATATCTTTCTACTGCTTATCAGTGTGATGAAGTTTGGTGAAATTTTAAGTTAATAGTATAAAACATTTCCCATCGATTTCGCATGTAGATATGTGCCATAACATGACATGTTTTAAGGTTTAGGCCTTCAAATAAATGTTTCAGTTTTTTTGAAAACAAACATCGTATAAACCAAGGAGACTTTCCCTATTTTCAATATCTTACTGATAATGTCAATCGAAACTTTCACAATATTCAGAAAACTGGATTCCACTGCATAAAACAACCCATATATACTAACAACTCATAACTAAGATGAAAAACCCAAGTACTCCGTTCAGGATACGGCAAATACAGAAAAAATTGGTCAAATACAGCCCTGAATACCAGCGATGGGAGAATACAAACCCAAACAAAAAACACTGAGCTCTTTGAACAAGTTAGTCACAATCTAAAATCAGTGTATCATTGGATAACACAATGACCTTTAGGCAGCAGTTACTAGTTTCGAAACTGAGTGCTTATCAGCGTTGGAATAAAAGTATGTCCAGTTAATATATCATCAGAACGTGCATCATGGATTTAACTTCTAGCCATCATCAGATATACTGAAGTTCCGAAACTAAAAGCCAATATCAAGGTATCTTATTCATGATATACATTTGCTAATTGCGACTGATCAATCGAAATCATTAAAATGGAATCATGAGGGAGTACAAACATTTACAAATAATCTCAGAAAAACCCAAATAATTCTGATAAAAATGTATTACTTACTAGAAGCTAACGTGTTCAGCCATGCATCAATTTTCCTGAGATCTGAATCAATATCTGTAAAGACAAGGTGAACAGTAATATATAAACTTACAATGAATTAAATTAGTCGACTGTTGTGGTTATGAATAAACATTATAATGCTCAGTAAAGAAACACATCACTATGATGAATAGAACAAGGAAGATTATCACAACATTCTGTACTAAGTAAATTATTTTTTTAATGAATATCTCTTAGGTTGTGAGCCTTACTTCGTGTTGGAAATCCATCATTTCACAGTAATGAAAACACTCAAAAATGCACTTTATTTTTCAGAAAAACGTGGACTACTTGTTAATCACGTAAGTAGTATGTCACTGAATAAGAAAAAGAGAATTCAGCACACATAGACCTTCCTATATGTGTCATTACACAAACGGTCGGATAAATCAGGATAGCTATCAAACAAATCAAGAGCGGAAAAGCAGCAGGACCCGACAATATACCAGCCGAAGCACTGAAGTCAGACATCGATGTAACTACAAACATGCTTCACTTTCTATTCAAGAAGATTTGGGAGGAGGAATAAGTGTTGATGGACTGGAGAGAAGGACACCTCATCAATATATCAGAGAAAGAAAATTTGGGCAAACGTGAGAACCACAGAGGCATCACACTACTATCGGTACCAGGAGAAGTTTCCAACAGTGTTGCTGAACTGGATGAAAGAATTAGTAGATGCCCAGCTTCGACATCATAGGTCGAATTCGGTGAGGACAGGTCATGTGCAGACCAAATCGCGACACGACAGATCATCGTTGGACAATCAATTGAATGGAGTTCGTCACTGTACATAAACTTTTCTAATTAGAAGAAGGCGTCTGATTATCGATAAGAGAACCGTATGGAACCATCTTCGACACTATGATGTACCTGAGAAGATAGCCAACATCATACGGAATTCATACGACGAACTACAGTGCAGAGTTGTGCGTCGAGATCAGCTCACAGGTGCATTCCAAGCAAAGACCTGTGTCGCTAAAGGATGCCTACTCTCACCCTTTCTCTTTCTTCTGGTAGTTGACTGAATTATGAAGACCTCCACACATTAGGGGAAGCACGGTATACAATGGATAGCTTAGATACAGCTCTACACATAACCGAAAACTACATTTGTTCTGTTATTTAAATGTTAATTGATTTTCATGTTTAGTATATTAGAAAACATCTACTTTATTTTCACTTTTAAATTTAGCAGACAAAATCAAATACAGTATTTCCAAGTGTAAATTAAGAATGTATCGATTCCGATAAATCCATTCGAACACATGTTTAAGTATAATTAGCATATGTTTGCATAAAAAAGAAAAAGAACAAACATACATTTACCATGATCGGTGAATTATCTACACGTTTTTGAATAATTTTGAGTATTGTCAAAAATTTAAGTGTTTCTCTAAAGGTAAGTCAATAAATTTTACAAAGTAGGTTTAAACTACTAACTAAACTTCCATTAAGAGTAAGTAGTATATATAAATGTGAAAAAAACATCGTTTTCTTAGTAAATTGTACATCACTCACGCATGCTGAAAGGCGTTTTGAAAGTAGTAAAAATGAGAGTTCAAGGTACTGGTGTAGGGAATGAACACTCAGGTGGGACCAACCACTATTTTATTTTCTTACTAAATTACAGAATATCTTCCTAAAATATGGGAACAATGCAATAAATACTTCATTTGCAAATCTCCCATGAATTGTCCTTCACATTCCATATGATTCCTTCAATTCACAGTTCTTTTCGATTTCCTTTTCTGTTTTCTTCTAGCCGACCTTCATGGCCTTCTGCTGCTATGCATTCCTCTTCTGGTGTTACATGCTGCTTATTTCTGTCAACATAAGTAGCATACGCCACACAAGTACTTACTCATCATTTTCTAACGTCAGTACGGTGGCAATTAAGCATAACATGTACAATTAGTCGATTCAAATGAAAAGAGAATTTTATGGTATTTATCAGATATAAACGTCTGGTGAAAAAGATTAATATTATGTTTCCTAGGATTATTTCAAACTGCTCAAGTAGATTCAACCTTAATAGACATTCAACTTATAAACTACTCTGTTGTTTAAACAGTTGCGCTCTCAAACAAATAAAAAGACTATTTAAATACTTGATATAATCCAAACCTACTTCAAAAAGATGAGAGTTTTTCTGTTTAACCGTATCGTTTACGAAACTCATTGCTACGCTAAGTAAATCATCTTATCAAATACAGTCTTGTTCACTATAATTTGAGTGACACATTCCGCATGAGTACTTGAGATGTTACTCAGCTGTTTAGAGTGATATTCATACTACCAAACTAGTATTTAATAATCGGGTGCTCTACTTCTACAACTCTTTAATAGGATTTACAATAACTTGAAACACGTTACAGTTTATTGAGGAAAATATTTAAGTATCACATTAGCAACGAAACACTAAAAAATCAAAAGTGAGACGGCGTGTACTACGAAAATAAAGTTCATTCACAAATAGTAGAATAACTAAAATCTTAGAAAGATATAGAATCACGTACGACTAAAATTGTGTGCAGATGAAAACAATTATCAGAAGTCAATTACTAATTTAGTTTTATAGTAAAACCTACTAGGTTTGTTTAATGGAAACATTGTTATTATTACCATTATCATTATTTGAAGTATGTTCTCGTTAAGACGTGACAACAGCTAGACGGTTATTAAAAATAAGAAGTGAAATGAACAATTATTTCATTCGAGTTTCAAAGCACCCCTTGAGTGTTCCACCTTAATCTCCTATAATTAACCCATCTTAATATCATTGATGCACAAACCTGAGGAGTTCTTAGAACTAAGGATTGAAAATCTTTTCAATATCCTTCTCATTAAATAATATGAATTCGTGATAACCTATACATAAAACATGAAATTTACTCACGTATTTCAAAACAAATTTATTGTTAAAGTAACACTCTCCATAAATTTTATTTGCAGTAATAGTAGCATCTTGATGTTATAAGTTTACAACAGATATTTTAAAAAAGACTGTACCAAACATTAAGAAAAATTATCGTTCCCACTAATTATTTATATCAATACTCTATACATTTTATGAATGGAAATGGTGGACTTGACATAGGTATCGATTAATTGACACCGTCACACTTTACATGTACATAAGGAGTAGGGAAAGCGATCTATTAAACTGTTTAAGGAGATATCAACAATAATAACTTAATAAATCTGGAAATTAATAAGCCATGCGGGAATGAAATGAATAATAAACACTTATAAAACTTCAACCATCATAGCAAGCATTGTAATGGTGCTTTAACTATTTTATTTACTGACAATTCATAAACAATATGTATATATACATTGAATATATGTTTATTAGTTTATTTCTATAAATAATTTCCAAAATATATACAAATATATTTATAAATGATCAATCAATAAGGTGTTGGTTACTTTCCAAGGTCATTCGTTTTGTTAAGGCTATCAACTTTTGATCAGTAACAAATATAAAGATTTTAATTCATAAACACTATTAATTAATATATGCCACTGTAAAAGCATGTGGTCAGTAAAAATAATCATGATAACATAAAATAATTTCATCATTTAGAAACTTTATGGTCTAGTTGTATAATAAGTAAATCACCAGTGAAATGACTACATACAACACTTATAGCAATTTCGCAGTAAAAACGACCACACTAACGATATTTCAAACCAGGATACGACAACTTAGTCTCCTATCTAGTTCCTGAAACACAAATCGTACTAGGGAAGATATATCAGGTTAAAGTACCATTTGAGTTAATTCAGTTAAACATCGATTCAATTTGATGATTACCAAATACAAAAATGATCAAACTGGAAAATTGTCACATGAATGTAAAGTCACGCTGAATGTGAATTTATGTAACTGAATTTTATATTAAACATCAGGCAATTGAACAAAATATAATGATGGACTAACTGATACAAATAAATATTATGCTGAAAGTAGAAACTACACTGAGTCATTATAAAAATCAAGTGAATGAAAAGCACATTTGAAAAATCAATGCATAATTATTCACTTCGTTACTTCCTGGTAAATTGTATTCGAGGGTTGAACATCGTCAACAATCAAGCAGGCGAGTCCACTCTCCCTCTCGAAATAACCTCACATGGTCACGCATATACAGCCATTGATAGGGAAGTCCTACTAAATGCCTTCTCGCGGCGGGTGTGTGATTTACAAAATTGAAAGGACAAAAGGCAAATTTCCGGCGCTTTGACCGGGTTGGTGGACATGGAGAGTCCATCTAAGGGAGTTGAAAAACCCTGATTCCAAACCAATGGTGCACATGGGCTCCAGGATCCTGAAGTAACAAATGGCATATGAACCTATTGTTGGTCACCGGCTACCATGGGACTGCATCTCCTTACGTTACTCCACTGCTTTGTGGATCAGACCTTTAGGTCGAAGGCTCCGGGTGTGGCTCCCTAAGAAAACTACCTGTTTCGGTTTGGGCATCCGAACAGTATAACAGCCCTCACACAGATTGAATTATTTATGTGGCGCATATCTGTTTGGTGCCTTCTTGTACCAATGTTTATGTGTTTACATAAATAAAAAATGATCTGGTCTAGTTGGCTGGTATATAAACCAAGTATGTCTGAAATAAATGATTCATAAATTTGGAACTAGTATTGATGTTTTGAACTCAACAGACAGGGCTAGACGGGAAAAATGACCAATTATGATGCTAGGCTGCTCAAACCGGTCAATACGTCATTGGTTTGGCACAGTGCTAAGATTGTATAAGTCGTATTCTGATTGGTGAGCAAGTCACGTGATATTTAACCGTCCGAAAGTCACAACATTGATGCTTTTTTTTACAGCTTCGAAAATATCAGTAAACTCGAGCCCTGTATTAATTAATTTAACTGTTAACAAATGGCAGCTTTAAAAAAAAGTTGAAGGGCTTTTTCTTACTTCACTGCTTCCCTCAAAAAAACATGTTTTGGATAACGAACGTTCAAGATAAAACTGTGGACAATCGTATTCGATCAAAATGAATGATATAATGATAAAGTTTGTTCTAAACAACACCAAGTCAACAACACATATTATTGTTTAGCACTTTTTAACATAAACGATATTTATGTTCTTGTGTCCCTCATAAAATAGCTGAAGACCTAAGCGGAATCACATTTACAACTAATTATGGTAGAGGAATTAAACTTCCTCGATATTTACTTTTAAATGTTAATAGATTTTTCTTATCACTTCTATATCTCTATTCATTTTAACTAAACCAATATACTTTGAAATATCTACCGCATATTAAACACTAAATAATAACACCAAAAATTTTACAGTAAATAACTAAATTGTAACAGATTCCGACTACTTCAACGTCCAAGTTTCTTCTACTTTATTTATATATTGATAGATCAGTCATTTATGCTTATTCAGTCTCAAATTTCATGTGTATCATAACAAATTAAATGGAAACTAGTATTAATGTAATTATATAAAACAATGAAAATTGAATTAATATTCATATTATGGAAAAACATTTATCAGTATTAGTAGTAACAGAGAAACAAGATAAAAAACTAATATCATTACTTGTTTGTAAACACGCGTATTCATACACACAAATGAGACGGAATACAATTTTACTGTCTACATTATCATAACCAACCAGAAACATATACGGTACAGTTCATTTATGAACAGTACAAACATTCTTATTTATTTATTTATTTATTGATCTAAATACCTAACTATCTACATACCATGTCACGATAAATACTACTAGTACACAGAGCGTGTACTGTTGTTCATAAT